ATATCGCCAATTCGTCAAACAATTCGTCTACAATCGCCGTCGTCTTCAACAAGCTGCACCTCAACAACTGCTACTACCGTCACCGTCTACTTCTACTACTACCAGCCTCTTTTCGTCATCAATCCAATGGTTCACCCTCAACGACTAGCCGCACAACTCACTCAACGCCACAACCAACCACAACAAGCCGATTATCATCATGCTACTTGTAGATGCAGTTGTGAACACCTAGTCATGTATTTAACACGTTGACGACAGTGCCGCGCAATGGTGCGCGGCAGGCAGTCTGTCCCTGTGGACGACGCCGCGCAATGGTGCGCGGCGGCCTTAAATTCAATACTATCTGTCCAATCCTCTCAGTTTTTGTTCATATAGTCAACATAGGCTCAGATGTACTTCATGTATAAGCCCCGCCCCTTTTGGCAAACTCCGCCCACTTTTGTGCCTCTCACAAGGATCCTTTTTGTCCACAAAAAGCATGGCTGAGGCTGTAGATGAACGCAAAGACTTCAAGCAACGTCTAACCAGGCCCCGCCCACCGTCAGGCAAGCTCCGCCCACTTTTCAAAAGTGGCGGAAATCGCATAAATTCTTGAAATTTGGGCAATTTCCGGCATTTTTGGTCGAGTGGGCGGAGCTTGCCAGAGGGGGCGGGGCTTGCACATTTTGTACTTCGTGCATGGATGCATGCATACATACACGGGCCACGCGTAGGGATGCATGGAAACGTCTCGTCCACAGGGACAGACCGCAAAAAAATGGCTCGTCGTCAACGTGTTAACTATTATCATTATCCATATGTATGTATCCCCTTGTCTGGCCGGAGTATCATCGACCAATCGATGATTCCTGATACCCGTGCCAAATGACGTCATAGCCGAGTGGGCGGGCCATGTCTGCCATGCGTCCACCTGGGAGGTCTCACCTCACTCTTGATCACACGTTGACCACCCAAGGTCACAATCTCACGCTCTCGGTTACAGTAATCCTAATAAACCACTGAACCACCATTCTTATTGTCTATTTCACCGTAATACATTGCATACCGAGGCAAACCCCTCGAAGAGTCTACACCCGCTAATACTTGGCTAGATAGAGCTAAAGGAGAAAATTGGATAAAGCAAGCACAAAACATCTGAGTACAGCATTAATCAGATATGGCAGGGCTTTGCCTAATTATGAGAGCTGTAACGGTTGCAGACAACGCAGGTTTTAAGGACAGGATGCGTCAAAAGTCGACACAGAATATCAACTCTTGTGCTTGTCTAAATCGTTTCGTGAAACGAAAAGCTAGCACCTGATGGCTTAAAGGCAGCGTCCAGGCAGAATCCACCCACCCACCCATATTAGCACACTGTTGTAAAGCGGGCCCCATGTGTATCAGATTTGCGTTGGTTCGATCCTTTGACGTGGTCTCTAAAAGGAGTTACGGGCCTGTGATACGTATCACAAACCGTCCCTCGTATCACAAACTTCCCCCTGAGGACGTGTATTCACGCATTGATCGATCATGGATGGCAACTGCACCATTGCAGTTGCAGCTCCTCTTCGGTAGTGAGCCGGGGGGATAAACAATCCGAAACTCGTCCGCGCCCTCAAAACAGGGTCCCCAGAAATCGGTTTTTTTGAGGGTTTTGGACAATTTGAACTTTATAACTGTAATCAGGGCCACGGAAAGGCCCTAGAATGACAAAAACATGAGAGGCGAAATTTTGCCCGGGCGCTGCCTTTGAAAGCGAAAAGGAGAAAAAAATCCGATCGTGTACCGCTGAATGACCAATAGACTGTCCGTCCGGCAAAGCCCTATAGCAGTATGCTCATTTGATGCACAGAGTTGTATCTTGTAACCGTACCACTCAAGGGAACCCACTGGGTTAGTAGATCCAAAGAGTAGGTAGACTTAACCCACGATACCGGTGTTTACAAACCTGTGGCCGTATTCATCAACGAAACCCGTGGGTTCCGGAACCCACTGGGTTAGTGCTTTTGATGAATATCGACTCTTCCCTGGAGTAGAATCGATATTCATCAAAAGCACTAACCCAGTGAGTTCCGGAAGCTACGGGTTTCGTTGATGAATACGGCCACTGGTGGGTTAGCGATCCCAGGGTCTTGTCTATTGGGTAGGCTGACCCACAAAATAGCCACACGCTATTCACGAACGGTTCAATTGATTACGGCATCCGTTCCGATGTTCAACAACAATTGACAAAACCTTTTAGGTTCCAAAACCCAGTTATGTACGTTTGCTTAAATCAAGCATGGGACGAGTTGAAATAAAGTACAAAGGATTCTAATCTTTTTTTGAGGTGTTAGAAAGGTTTTATGAAGCAGCAGTGGTACTAGAAATATTACGATATATAAAAATACTTTTATAGGTCAGGCATCAACGTTTTATTGTATCTCAATAAGTTCGACCACCAAGAGGGTCTTTTAACCTAACTATCTTACTGAAAAGACTAAAACATTGACGTTAAACATTTTCCGAGGTATCAACCGAGTTTTCATCAAAATGAAGAGTGATATTTTTGCAAACAAACGCTTAGCAATGTGGTATCGGTGGTGGTTCATGTAACATTAGACATACTACTGCAACTACGGAGGAATTGTATGAGGAGAGAAGTGTTTCCAAATCCAAAGTTTGATAAGTTCGTATGTTGAGCAAAAAAAATTCTGTTTCGTCGATAAATGCTCAATTTTGCTTATGATCACTGTAACTGTTCACCATACTGACACCTCCCCCCCCCCCCTTTTCGCGCCTCTCCAACAAGTTTGAGCAGTCTCAGAAATGGCGAAAAAACGGCAATTTATTCACAATTATTCAAGGCTGTCCGTAACGCCATGTGCACCCTCGGATAAATTTCAAAAAATCGATATTTTCATCAGTCGGACATGGTGCAATCACAAACCACAAACAAATTCGACTTTAAAATTTGAGATTGCGACTACCAAACTCAGAAAAAAAGCATTGCGAAAAAAACTAACATCAAAACTAACTGGCAACTAAACAATCCTGGAAGTTGCGAGACATAACCGAAACAGAGAAGTCAAAATAGGCATAGTTTGCTAAAATAAATATTGCAGGATCAAAAAACAAGAAATTCTTGTAAACAGTGGCGGTCGCAGATTTCCTTCCGGAGATGGGCGGGGGGAGGGGAGTTTAGCGGCAAGCATGGCGTTAACCACGCACTCCGAAAATTTTTTGGGGTGCTTCTCAAAAGTTTTGCGGGCCCATAACCCATAAAATGTGGATTTTTTACAAGGCTAATTTAAATTTTTGGAAAATTTTAAAAATTATCTCAATTATCTACAAGAATGAACAAGTCACTTGCACATTTTTATAACCCATGTAACATGAATTCCAAATGTAAGTAAAATTTGAAAATTTCGCGACATTCTTGGGGAGGGGGGGGGGGGACGGCGCCGCCCCCCCCCCCCTCCAAATGGGTCGCGCCACAGCTTGTAGAGGTTTGAGGTTCAAGTCCCACATGGTTCAACTGCGAACATTACGCATCTTTGACGTCTTAATCCATGACCGCACTGTTTTCCTGGCCGGCATCATCGCTTACCCCCCCCCCCCCACGTGGGAGACGGTCAAGAGGCACGATTTCTCTACCTGTCAGCAGCTCAGAACTTAAATTTAGTGATACACGAGTAAGACTCAGCAACTAATTTGACTATCTAAGATATTTCCTTTGAATTCTAAAATACTTTCAGATCGTTAGGAAACTTTGAATATGTGCTATTTGCAGGCTGGCATTAAAAATTGTGCCTCTTGACATACACCCCCCCCCCCCCACACGTGTATGGCAATTGGGAAAGGGAACGCTTATTTCGGCGAGGGCAAAAACTGGTCATTTCACAACCGGATATCATAGGAGGATAGCAGTACTATTACCGTTCTGCTCCTAGCCAATTTGCCAGCGGCTCAGAGGACAAGAAGTCTACTCGAAGAATCTTCCTAGTTTTCTTCTCTTATCCTCAGGTGTTAAGGAGATCTTCCGGTAGCCAGCCAAAAGTAAAGCAAGATCCTAGGCTCTATCAAAAGTCAAATTTCTAGCCAACTTTCTGGTTTGAGTTTTTGAAACCGAGTTTCGCGAATTCAAAAAGTTTTTTTCGAGTCTGTCCCCCAATTTCTTCTCCATTCGCAATTATCACGGCAGTCGTTTAACTACAAAGCAGAGCGTAAACAGGAACAACCTCAATTGCCACCTACTACAGTCAAGATAATTTGATGACATAGCAGATCACAATCTGGCGGACGTGAACTGTCAGTTTCCAGCAACAGATCGGTTGGAAAGTGCTAAATTTGACCTTGGACTTTAACACGTTGACGACCGAGCCATTTTTGACCACCTCAAAATGGACTGATGATCTACGGCTGCGGTTTGGACTGTTTAACAGCTACCGCAATGCCGTGTGTTCTATATGACAACCAGGCCACCAGTGTTATTACTGCATAGAAGTTACCTGAGAAATTTTCGTTTACACATGATAAATTGATGCACGAAAGTGCTACAAGGTGGTCAGGGCGTGCATACGCGCGGATACACACGGTCGTCAACGTGTTAATATTTCGGACGCGGCATCTGGATCATGGTGTCTAACATGTGATATTAGAATGGAATATTATGGTACAGCTAGCTTGAAGGTCAATACATACATATGTAATATTTTGATCGTCCACTTAATCCTGCAGCGAAAGCTTTGACAGAAGTCGCCGAGTAGAAGAGCTATTAGTCGTGGTGGCGTGATTGCCCACAAACAATCCGATCCGTTCTATGTATCTCTCGTGCGGTATGATGCTCCAAATTTTCACTAGATCGTCAAGGACATTCCAAGCCAAAAGTCGTCCTTGGTAAAAGATTGCCCTAGCGGGTCGTAGAGCCTCCTGGATTATTCGACACAATAATTTCCACTCAACTCACTATCACCGTTCATATCAGTCATTAATGATTTCATTGTCAATTTTCAGTTTCGAATGCTCTACACTTTATGATAATGTATGATCAATGGTCTTTCAAATTATTCAACACTATTGGACTTCTTGTTCACCTATTTCTGATAGACATTCCTAAAGATTTGAGAAGGTGGTTGACGTTGAAGCAAAAGGTACATTTGTACACTAGTCTCAAAGAGTTCCTATGGCTTCTGAGAATGACTTCCAGGATGTTAGCGGTAAAGTGATAGTGATAACTGGGGGAGCCTCCGGACTGGGCAGAAAAATGGCGCAAATCTTCGCCATTGAAAAACAAGCAAAGCTAATCATTATTGATATCAATTTTGTTAGTTGAACTTTTCGTTTAGAGAAAGCTCAATTCGCAGATCTGATTTTTTCAGGAAGGCGCCAAAGAAACGGTGTCTTCAATAGCAAATGAGGGTGGTCAAGCAGAAGCCTATAGCTGTGACATTCGAAAAGAAGAAGAGCTCGAAAAAATAGCCTCCGAAATCCACAGCAAATACGGTAAGCGAAAAATTTTTGATCGGAAAAACCGAATAACTGGCCAGAGCACTGCGCAGTGATGGTTGCCTTCAGTTCTTATTAATTTTTCAGTTTCCCTTTGGTAACGTTTCAATCCTAGTTTCCTTCGCTACAATTATGTGTGATTTGCGGTCAACACACTTCGCTGACCTCTATATCTCGCGAACGTCCAATTATCTACGATGTGCATCGTTCGCGACTGTGATTTACAAATATTGTTGAATGGCTTTTTAATCTCGGATGTCGATAAACTCCCAAGCAAAAAATCTCGATGCTCTCTCATACATGTAGGTCAAGCATCAGACCCAACACATCTGGTTTGCTTGAAAGAACCCCTATAGCCGCAACAGAGACGGTAAAATATGACAAAGTCAGTATGTGGGAAAACACATTCGAGTTTCACATAGATACCATAATTAGTTAAAGGTGGTTGCCGATAGAAAAGCGAAGGTTGTCTTCTCCATCTGTCAGCAAAGTCGCTCCCACTTTCGTAAAAGTAAAAATTATATTATGATCAATCTGCCATACTGATTCATATTAGACCGAATTCGTGCTTTATCTGTGGTAAGCAGCTGATTGCCTCTCTATTACTTGAGAATTTAGAGTTGAAGATAAAACACAGAAGTAGAAGTAGTGCAGCATAGCAATAATAAATTTTTCAGGCAAGGTTGATATTGTTGTATGCAATGCAGCTGTACTCGCTTTCGCTCCATTTTTGGATCTGAAGACCGAGCAGCTCAAAAAAGCCCTGGATGTCAACGTCGTTGGAACCATCAATGTAAGTACGACATTGGAATTCATTCAGTAGTAACTTGGAAATTATTTGAGTTACAAACAACTCACGCAATCCACATATGTGTTATTCTGTGATCTTTCGCCAGATAATCATTTGAATTTCAAAAAAGTAGCTGTGTTATCAATCCCCTTTTCGCTGTTTTGTGGCATTTAGCGATCTCTGCAGCGAGTACCTAACAAGTCAGAAAAGATGTTTGGGCAAGGTGAATGTGAAAATAATATTCGTCGCACATTTCTACCGCCATGAAATTTAGCTGCTAATTAGTCAAATGAAGAAGCTGCAGATGTATTTCGATTCTTCGAAAATTAAGAAGCCCACATGCTATATCTGACCAACTCTACTGAATGTCGGAGTGAAGCGCCTGCCTTTTTTTTTGAAAAGAAACATTTCAATGAAGCAAAACCAATTTTTCCTGAGAAAATCAGCAACATTGTGGAGAAGCCACATAGATTGATGATACAATCAAATTAAAGCTGAAGAGATCAAATATACGAATCGAAAGTGCCACTTTCTCGATTCTCTACACTTTGTCTCATGACGCACACTGCACTATACCACACCTATTTGATTTGGGACCGCAGTTCTGTTATGATTTGGAAGCATAAAATCATTTCATCGTCCCTTTTCAGACCATACGAGCTTTTCTCAAGCCCATGATTGACTCGAATGAAGGACAAGTGGTTGCAGTCTCGTCAATTGCAGGCTTTTCGGGAGAGACGTTCGGTCTCGCATATTGGTATCGTTTTCGAAATTGTGCAAGAAAGTCTTACCAGTATACAATACCGCTCACAGAATGTGCAAAATTTCCGTTAATGTCGCGGAATTCCGAGAATGTCGTGGACTTCCACGGAATTCTCGGAATTTCGCGGCATTCACAGAAATATTGCACATTCTGTGAGCGGTATTGTAGGTAGTGATGACGCAGTCGCACCCCACCATTGTTTGCTATAGATTTTAAGGCATTAGCTTGGGATATAAAAATAACATATTTGCTGAGATGTGATAGAAACGGAGGTTTGAGTAAAAAGCCGGAAATTATGAGTGCAAGCGGGGAGTGGGTAGGTTGACCGATTAGTTTTCAATCGCTTCTGAAAGCGAACATTCGAACGATCACTACACCACATTGTTAAATCCCTCGGAACATCCGTATTCGCACAACTATTTGTCTTCTTTTTAAGCGTATACTGTATGCAGAGCTGATCTCTTGCAGCCCGACAAAGTTCGCTGTTCGTGCTGTGATGGAATGCCTCCAGATGGAACTGAGAGATCGCGGACTTGAAGGCATTGCATGTTCAACGGTACGTAAAAAATAAGCAGGAAAGCTTGATTATTCTATCGTACTTGCGCTTCTAAAGAGAAACTGGTTGATTTGTTTTTTAGAAAGCTTTGCCGACTTTGGGCCTTTCGTAGAAACTCTTTTCATAACCTCTTACCTCTTTGCCCATCTGTCTTTTCCGAGAATTCTGTGGTGTTATAAGTCACAAAATGTGTTAGACTTAAGCGTATCTTGTGAACGACTGATTATCAATCTTGAGTACATTTGAAATGCCTAAGCTTTTCTTTCGAGATTTTCCTTGCCATTGTTTCTCGAAGCACTTTCGATACACCACTGAGCGCCAAGTCTTCTCTTAGGCATCGCTTAGCCTCCATTATCATTATTTCTAAATATTATCATATCTGAACTGTAGGCGATGAAGAGATTGAGCAACATGGAATTGATCGACTGGTTACTTCTAATTTTTTTGCACCTGGTTATCCTTATTAGAGCTCAAATCTGTAAGGAAGCTTGTTCAGACTATTGCCGGACAAAGGCGCAAAATTTGGGATGCGAATGCGATTTCTTTAGCCGCAGAGCCTTTGAAATTGTCTTATAAGCCTCGAAATGGAGTTTTGAAAATTGAGATCACGCCTTCTGTTCGGTGCTCGGCACGAGGTGGCTCTGGCAATTTTTTGGAAACGAAGCCCCCTTTGTCACGGCAAACATGGAACATCTCCTATGACACGTCCATGGATCAAACAAACATGAAAGCAAGGTGACATAGAAAAAATACAAAAAACGACATCAAGCAAAGTATAAAATGCCTAATAGCGTTCGTATTCTCCGAGTTGGCACCATGCTGTGTCCGGCGAGCACCCCCACGCGCTTGCAGCAGGATTTCCGCTGCTGTACAAAATCTTTGAAGGGCTTTGACTGGGGAAGGAGGGTTTTGGAGAAGTTAAGAAATCATTTTGTAAGATTTTGAATGTACATCAAAACTATGTAAAAAGTATGGGAAAAATTATATGAAGAGAGAGAAATTTATGACTTTATTTCCTCTGAGTCACCTCAGGTGGCTTTCCGGGTGGCTCAAAAGCCACCTAACACAAAAAAAAGTTTGCCTTGCCTCCAGTTCACATAACTTTCTTATAATATTTGTACATAGTTCCACCCATAGCGCATCTGCACACCAAATTTGGTGCCATATCACTACTTCCTCCTTATAGACAAGCTTCTTTATCTCGGGGCACATTTTCGAGTTCCCGCGCTTGCACGAAGAGAATATTGGAGCGGGAAATTGCTGGTTTTGCAGAGAATGGGATTGGTAGGGTGGGGAGACGGTCGAATGTGATCTATTGTCACTAATCAGAAAAGCCAGGAAAAAAGTTCGAAATTGGTTTAGCACTTCCGAGATTCAACTGGTAATCCTCTGTTACTATTTCTCATATGATGACAAAAGTTTAGGAGTTTGAAAATCTTGCTTTTGTAGAGTAAAAACCCCTCCTGGCAATGACAACTGCCGAAACGCGCGCCTTTCGATATACACCCGGTAGGGTGTGATGAGCACTTGCAACATCTCCCGAAGATATAAGGGGAGGGTGTAATGAAAGAGGAGGGGGAAGGGAGGAGGGAGAGAGAGAGAGAGAGAGAGAGAGAGAGAGAGAGAGAGAGAGAACGAGTGTGATTGTGGTAGGCGGAAGGAGCACATGAAAGCTGCGGTTATGTATGTGTATACCCTTTGTGACAATAGCGATGGGATTAAGATTCCTTTGTAAGACAAAGGGCTGCAACTCTTTTCCTAGATACTACAGCCCTTCCCTTTCTCTGTCTCCAGCTTTTCCATTCGCTGCTTTCGCATCTTGATATGCTCTTCTCTACATGTTCACGTCCAATCGGCGGTAATGTCTGTTGAAAGTAAAATTTGCAGTTGTGTCCGTATTTTGCCCGCACACCGATGGTACTCCAGCTAGGAATGAGACCCACAAGCACGTTAGTTGCTCCTACATTTATCGATAATACTAGTCGATTATGATTTGTAAATGTACTAAGAAATGAAATAGGGCTCAGTAAGCACAGTAAGCATTGTATCAAAGAAGAGATCACAACAGGTGGTTCCCCTTCATGAGCGTTGAATCCTGCTCTCGACGAATGGTGGACGCTATCCTCAAGGAAAAATGCATCTCCTTCATGCCGAATTATGTCACTTTCGTTCCAATGATCAAAAGGTGACATTTTTTATACTCAAAATCTTGTAGCTGTTATTCATTGAGCCTGGACAATTCTAAGACAAAAACTTTTTAATTCAAATGGGTTGAGGTAAGTGAAGATTTCTCAAAGCCAAGCGCCTTCGCGAGTCACATTACTCCCATTGGTATGAATGACTGTTCGATTCAATGGATCCACCCTGCATGATGCAAGAGATTCATTTCTTCACCCCTCGAATTTAGAAACAATTATCTAATTCAGCATCATTCCCACCAACTCCGAAATCGAAAAGAGCTGTAACAGCGTCTCGTGTAAACTAAATGAAATAAGTCATGAAAAATGTATTTGATAGACCATGTCTTGCCTATTTACTGCTAGAAAGAAGTGATCTGCCCTAGAAATTTGAATCCTCCTAGGACATGCGCAATTTAAGAAAGCCTCCTGTTTATTACCCATCGGAAAAATTCGCGTTTTGGGAATCCGTTGCACAATATAGTACATATAAACTTACTTTACTTCGCATTACGCCATATTTGTGCACTTGTGTCAACATTCCATGAAGTTTTCTGTTAAAACTCCACAATTTTTCAACAATAAGGGATGCCGCAAGTGACTAAAAAAACTTTGGTTGCTTTTCACATTATCTGTCAACTTGCAGTCGTACATACAGAGGCGATTCCTTCGCCTTCCCACAGTGCTAGATGAAAGACTGGAGGTGGATTGAATCAGAATCAGTGCTGCATTTCTAGCCAGCAAATAAGTTTAGAGCCCAATTTCCCGGATGCGTATAAATAATCGTGGATTTCAAAAATCGCCCATCATCTTATCAATTTATCATATTGATTTTGCTGAAGCTTCTTTATCAAACTCTTCTGAGCTTGTAGAGAATACGAGATGCAGCGCCGCATCCTTTTCACTCTAATGGCGAACACGCCAAAAGACTGACTGTCATCATGGAGCGCGTTAAGTGAGAGCAGTGTGCGATAAGGCGACCGCTTCGCGAGACACATGCGCGGCGGCACGCCTGGGTCTGCTCGCGTTTAGAGCAAAAAGGGTGCGGCTTATACACCTGAAAATAGGGTAAAAGTTCGAGGTTTAGAATTGCGGCGCATAGTAGTCAAGTGCCAACCACCTTCATTTCAAAAGCGTATTTTTTAATGTACCGATGGACCTGTTGGTACATCATCGCTGCTAGTTCGTCAAGGTTACCGAACTCCGTATTGTAGCGAAATCCCGGTCAAAAAAATTGCCATATCTTAGTTTAGAGCCCATCGTAAGAAAAATTATGGAAGATTTGTAAATTTCAAACGGTTTCCATATCCCAGTGGTCATCTACATATTGAAAGATGCGCCTCGTCGAGCTGTGTAGGGCGATACTCTTGGATGTGTTTAAAATGAACAAAATTGACTAGCACTGACCTGTTGGTAGTCATCTGATCTTTACCACCACCCCCACCCTCCCGTCCCATCGCCTCTGCTCGAGGTTTCAAAATTGATATATTGCCATACGAACAAATCTGTAATACGCGCCTCAGAATGTTCGAATGCTAAGTTTGGTTATGGATCACTTCAAAAATAAATTCTCTGCACGGGACATGCATACCGGCGATTCAAAATACGCAAAGACTGGGCGCCCTTGCGTCCGAGCAAGATAGCTCGTGAATAGGAGAGGCAGCAGATGGTAAGAGAAACGAAAGAGCGCTTGATCACAGAGACGCAGATGGATTCGCAGTCTTTGCGTGCTACGAATCGCCTATACATGTAGACATACACAACCACACAAACAAACGGACATTGAGCTTTGTATGTAAAGTTTAGGTCATTTGTTTCAGTTTTCTATCTTTCAATACGACGCGATCGTTGCGAGAATACATAGACATCAACTACGATACGGGTAGCAGTGTGAAGTTGACAAACCGCCGCGCCAACGATGCAACAAAGGAATACTTCTCTTCCTGCCATATTCTGCTGTGGATTCTCGCATTATTCGTGCCTTTGATCTTTTTTGTAAGTTAACGATACATCCTAAACTTTGTGAATTAATCATGGAACTCAGACTTTGGGATCGACGCTTGAACGACTGCTATGTTGCAATTACTGGATAATTTACAAAGTCTACATGGTGTTGGTGCTTGCTCACGTCATAGAAGCGATTTATGCTCTTCTTCTTTGCGACGAAATGCGGTTTAGGTCTGCTTTTTTGATTATTCAAACAGTTACTTAGCGATTCTGATAACATGTAAAGATTGCTGCATGACGAAGGCGTTGAGGCGGAATTAGTTGAGCGGGCGCGAACGCTGCGCGCGCGTATCTTCACCGTTGTAAATTCTGCGCCTCATGCGCTCTGCGACTAATGAAACCGCGTTCGCGGCCAAAGATATTGCGCCTTCGTCATGCAGCAGCCTATAAATAATGCTGGTGTAATCCAGGACTACAATAAGTGCAGGAGTAACATAAATAAAGTCTAAAGACAAATAATACATACACGTTTTGAGAAATAGTATTTATGTGTCATTACAACTGCTCAGAGTTGCATCAATTTCACTTTTAGAGCTGCGAATTTTCAGCTTTGCCTGCTCTGCGAAATGGTTCATCCAGACGTTATTAATCGGCTACCCATCGCTCAATGCTCTCACAAAGCATGTACAGGTGCGAAGGAAGCTAAGTTAGGTAACTTTATAGAGGAGAAGTAATGAACATTTATATTTGTGCTGTTATTGTCTGCTCATCAATGAATAATCAGAATCAACAGCCCTGACAATGGATGCCTTGTAAAAAAAATACAGCCATCTGTTGGAGTTCTTGTACAATTTCATATGGCTCTACACAATCGTTATTGAACTTTCAACACGGTGGTTCTCAGTATTTTGCAGATCCTGCAAAAATAGCATTTAAGGGGTCCGTAAAGGTTCTGAGAACCATTTGTTATATATAATCGTTCAATCTTTGAAAATCTTGAGTAATATGAAGCAAATGCTAAAGCTTCATTATGAAACCAGTTTGCTTTGCATACTGCTACTTTTGCTGCATAGTTAGGAAAAATCCACAACAATAAAACTTTCGTTCAACGTAAACGCAGCTTCATGAAAAGACAGGAGCGATCTGCGCAGTCATAGTAGCTTAATCTTGCCACATAATCGTGAAAAGAGAAACTTTTGAGGAGTAAAAGAACAAATTTCGATATTAGAAGTCCGGGTACAGGAACAAACTCCGCCACTAGTGCCGTCCTTACGACTAGTGGACCTTACATGGTGTGCAATGTTTGCGCGAAGGGACCAGTTCCTCGAATGCGGCCATTGGCGGAATATCTATCCCCAATGCACAAAACCGTGCTAACCATTTCCGAAACCTGGTGGTAATTAACTTCGTTTCTCCGCATTTTCTCTCCACATCGCCTGCTCATGGGTCTCCTCATATGCTCAAAGCGTAACTCGCATTATAAAAGGCTTCACATAGGGTAAATTTGACGAAGTGTCGCTCAACAGTGTCGTAGAGAAGATAGATGACTACTCTATATGAACATCTGGTGCGAATCATCGACTACTTTTCTTATAAGTAATCTGAACGAAGTGAATTTCATTGTTCTTTTTCCGGTCCAGAAACTTGATTTTGGAGATTTTTCAAGGTATCGAGTACTCCAGCCTTCGTCATCAGCATGGTATCGATCAGATTGCTCCCTTCTGCTCATTTTTCCAAATTGTTATCTTGCTATCTTTTACCCTACGACTTTCCCGTACTACCCCTTACAATTAGACTTGAAACGCAGAGCACACGCACTGAAAAAGTTACACAGTTCTTGAAAACTACTGTATCTGTTGCCCGAATGGCAATGATGCGCACTCGTTAACACATGGTGAAACAAGATAGGGGATAGAATTCATTACAGATATCGAATATGTGAATTTAAATACGACATAAAAACAACAACGAGAGACAACAAATCACAATAAGAAAAACTGTGCCTGGCGAAGCTGTAGCAAGAGAACAAGATTCAGTCAAAAAGAAACAAAAGGAAGAAGCGATGAAAGAAAGCTCTGACAAACAACTGCTCGCAACTTCCACACGCTTTCTAAAATTTGAAGCAAATGCGTTTAGGTATGGGATTACTTTACATGATAACACTAATCGATCTGCTGATTGGGGAAGTATATATACCACCTTGCAATTTGAAGAATACCATTGACTATCCTACTTGCGAGCTTATCCGGAACAATTCGAAGTGAGTTTACAGATTACAACAGTGGAAGACGTTGTATTTGCTGAGATATCAAGGACGCAGAGTACCCAAGCGAATGCGCTTCAGCATATCTTCAAACCCTCTTTCATATGCAGTTCAACATATGAAAGAGGGTTCGAAGAGTTCTCAAGTCATTTTCGAACACCGTTTGGCAAGAGATTTGAGAACAATTTTGGGTTGCTTGATTCAATTCATATCAAACGTTCTTACGAACCTCATATTTTCTTAACATTTTCAATAGATGACACTGACCAGGCTATAAAGTTGAGCAATCAATGACAAGAAAGCTAAAAGACTTGACGACACTCCTGTTGTTGAACCGGCTTCACGACGACAGCACACTAGCGACTTTTTTCTTAGCTAACAAAATTTCTCTGAGGCGGAAAACACCCATCACAACGGGGAAGTCCACGTTGTCAGCAAAAGTAGTAGCTGCGGTTGAAAGATGCGCATCAATCGTATTGTACTGCTCCCTGAACGACAACTTATTGAGTAGAAGTTTTGGCAGCGAGTAGGAGACATACTCAGAGATCGGTCTAGTTCCAACTTCATTCATGAGCAAGCTCGCCAGCATCAAATGAGCTTCTGCATGGTGTGGCTCAATCTCCAGACATTTTTTCAAGTACTCGATGGCGTCAGCACCAGAAGCAGCAACGCAGCTATAACGATATAACATAATATTTTTGGCCATTCATGACAATGAGCATACCTACGATCGAAGAAGTGAATGGACTCAGCTGGTTCAAGTTTGAACACTTCTTCGAACATTTGTTGCGCAGAGCTGTCCATGCTGAATGTCGCGGTGATCTACAAAATGACCGTTCATAATCTAAATATTTTATCAAACAGTGCAGTAGATTTTTGCGCTCAATAAGTTGCTTGCAGTGCAGAAACTTTGCGTTGGAATTTTCACGTGAACAAATAGAGGCGATTCATCGCACAGACTGAACGCCGTTGCGTCCGACTAAGGGCCGCATGCATTAACATCTCCGCTGCGGAAGAGATCGCAGCTTCAGAAGAAAGCTTCATATCCTGAAGCTCCAGGTATCTGGATTTCACGCTGTCTACCTATCCGTAAGTATTTTTACCAACCTTCACTATGAACATATGAGCAGGAATAAGAAGCTGTACAAGCCGCATTTTCCAGCTTTTGTATGATCCCATGATGAAGCGGCCGAACGTCTTTTCTTCAAAGTCATTTTTCTTTTTTCGAAGTCAGTAAAAACATTCCAGATTGTGCTGTTTATCTAACCCAACAGTGCTAATCATGTTTCTGGTAAGAACAAGTGATGTTTCGAAGCCATGAAATTTGCGATGAACCACAAGTCGAAAGTTGGGGTTTATCAGGAAAACTGATATTTCAAAAACTCATTTGTTATTATCAGCAACATGCTTAGCACGAGGTTCATCGGAAAATTCGATATTACAAAAACTCATTTGTTCTTATCAACAACATGCTTAGCACTGTTGGGTTAGATTATCAGTACAACTATGGAGGGTTTTCGTAACTTTGAAGGCATGAAAATGACTGTGAAGAGAAGACGTTCCAAAGTTGTACTGATATCATATATTGGAGATCATCAGGGGATCATACAAAAAGCTGGAAAATGCGGCTTGTACATCTTCTTACTCCTTTCGAAATGTTCATAGTGAAGGTTGGTAGAAATACTTACGGATAGGTAGACAGCGAGAAATCCAGCTACCTGGAGCTTCAGGATGTGAAGCTTTCCTCTGAAGCTGCGATCCCCTCCCCAGCGGGGATGTTAATGCACGGACCCTAAGATAGTTCGTGCATGGGACAGACAGCAAACGGTAGAAGGTATGAAAGAGCGCTCACTCACCGAGACGCCGCATCGTCCGCAGTGACGCCCTGTCTTTGCGTGCGATGAATCACCTATGCTTAAAAATGTCGGCAATCTGCGCGCGCAAGCAGCGTGCACTAAATAGCTATCTGTTCACGCAAATTTACTGCAAACTTTCGGCACCGCAAGCGCATTATACTAAGCGGAAAATCTACTAGACTGCATTTCGCTCTCTCAAAACAAGTACTCTGTTACAATCACAGAAAAATAACACCGTCAAAAAAACTAAGCGCAGCAGCATCTTTTGTTGAATTAGAGCGAAAAAAAAGTCCAGTACTTTTTCTCAAGCCCAGAGATTGAGAAAAAATTATCAAAGGAAAAAAAAAAACGAGCTCCCTCTCCCCTAGATCAAGAGTTCCCCTCACATAGATTTTTTCTTTCCATGATTGTTAGACCTTCTGAAGTACAGCCATGCATCTATATCAGGGCTCGGCGCACAGCAGGCACCGGGTCGAGCTGGATATCGTTTTTAGGGCGGAAAGCAAAGTATATATCGTTTTTTCGGGGTCCGGGGCGGGAAGAACCGCAAGAATGCCGCCGACATGCCACCGACATGCTGCCTATCAAACAAACAAAGGCGTTGTTTTCAGCCAAAACGCAATAGTATGACACCAAGTTTGGGGTGTGCATGCGCGTTGGGGGACCCGAACTATGGCCCAAAAATTTATGAAAACTTATTTGGATGAAAGTTGTGCTGAACTTTTTTCTGAATTAGCTGGCACCGTGCCAGCTGGGTGCTAGCTGGCACCGACACTTTCCTCACAAAAGTTTTCATACTTTTTTACATAAAACGTATCTACACTGTAAAAGTTTACATACGGAGAAGAAACAATTTCATAATGTTTTCTTTTCAGCGTTTTATAGCCATCCGAAAATAACTCGGTCTGCTCCGCAGTCGAAAAATCGGCTTTTTTTGCTTCTAAAGATGTGATTTAAATACATATAAAAAGCTCAGAAAGCTGTGAAAAGTTGTTCCAAAATCAGCATGCATGAAAACCCTAGCTTTTACATAATCTAAAAATAATGACGAGTCCTCAAAACAGATCAAAGGGGAATTCGTACGAAATTTTCAAGATCAAACGGGACTGTTTTGAAATTTCCCTGGTGCCAGCTCGTGCCTGATCTATATGCCTTCAGGTATACCAAACCCATATCTAGCAACAAAAAACCAAGCAACGGCATCGTATACATAGCCGATTTTTGTTCGATTTTCGGCAGCAATAGGAATTCATCAAGGCCCAAGTGTATGTTTCTTTTATCTACTCAATGATGGCCAAGTGAGAGGATCAAAAGTTTTCTTCGGCGTCAGCATATAGTATTAATGCAAAATCTATTCAAATTTCAAGCGAACCAAGACTTATGATGGAATTCGGTGAAAAATTGCGGTGTGTTGCCCAGTCGAGTATAGACCTTAAAAGCTACTTGTCACAATCCCACATCAGCTTGGTATCTGCAGCATGTGCATTTGCAATTTCATATATTAAATGTCTGTTTGTGTGTCTGTCTGTCTGTATGTGTGTACGTATGTTCCGAATAGAAAATTCCATTTCTGAACCGATCCGAACCAAACTTTGCACACATACACTCGGGGCCGGGCGGGTGTCATAGGCTACTTTTCGTCATCGATCGATATCGATTTTATTGATTTTTCAAAAAGTTCGAGTTGCGGGGCTGCGAGTTGCAGGGGGTAAGTGAGCATGCTGATTACGAATATACAGGGTGTCCCAAAAAAATGTTAACACTGTTTGATCGTTAATAACTCCCTTGCTTTCAAGTCTTTCGCCGAGCTTTAGGTACCATTTTGTAGAGCGAGGATAAGCTTAGATTTATAATATCGAGCGAATCATCTAACTCTCCCCGTTACTGTAGAATTACGATAGGAAATTTGACAAGGATTTTAGGCCATTAAAGCCCATTTTCTGCTTCGAAACAGAGCCAAACAAACCAATCTCTTGTACTATGGTAATGAAAGCCGCTAATTTCGGATATGAAATTTTCACTTCATTATGATGCTTCTTTTCAAAGTCATCCTAGGTAAAGTGTAATAACTGACTTCCCAGCATGTGTCAAAAATGTGATTACACCGTCAAAAAAGCTGAAAACACTCGTAAAAGGTTGTGTAGTAAAATCAGCGTGCGCGAAAACCCTAATACACAATTTTTCAGATTATTTGAAAAAAATTTTGTCAGAAGGCATATTTCACGACGGTTCCACATGCTGGAATTTCCTACCGTAATTCTACAGTAACGAGGAGCGTTAGATGATTCGCTCGATACTGTAAATCTAAGTTTATCCTCGCTCTACAAAATGGTACCTAAAGCTCGGCGAAAGACTTGAAAGCAAGGGAGTTATTAACGATCAAACAGTGTTAACATTTTTTTGGGACACCCTGTATTATTGACAGGGCGGGCGGAGCCGGGTTGCCAGCAAGTTCTTACTGTAACTCTACACACTGGGCAACGCTTTCCCTCTATAAACATACTGTGATTAGACGTGATTGATACAGATTTGCTCAATATGCCAAAAACAACAGCTAATGTAAGTCAGATGTGTCACAACAGCAAGACACTACTTTTAGGATATGCTAAAACAGTCAGCATACCTTTGCCAAGAGAGATAAAGCATAGCCTGTCTTGGGCTCTAACTCAGATACGAATTTCTCCAGCTCCAGAATATTGTTGTGTAATTGGGCCATGTCTGGAGCGCCATCCTGGCCTGTGGTGCAGAGAATCTGTAGTGTGAGATACAACAGCCTAAACCGCGTTCGAATTACACAAATTATGGAACAGAGAAAGAAATGCCTACTTCATGTTAGGTGTCTGTATGTCGTTGCTAGAAAGCATTTCCTTGGCAGTGCGAGTATCGTTGCACAGCACCAAACGAAAACCAGCCATTACGTTGAAATCAGGATTTTTTGATTTTGTTTCTTCCACAGCTTTGTTGAAAGCCCTTAAAGTGTGTCACGCAGATGAAACCACCTTTCTTCTAACACAAGAACCAACTTCATAACTTCCTCAGATGTACGTCCGGCTTCGATGCTTACGACATGTCTTGCGTTCAGTAGATCTTTTTTCTGTTCTTTCATCTCATCCGGTAAAGCTTGATATAAAGCATCGAATTCTCCAATACAGGAGGCAAACTAAGAAGAAGAACATTTTAGCGCTATGCAAATAGTTTTACATAAATTGTCTGTTTGCTTTCTTATTCCATGATTTCAGATTTTTCAGAAGCGCAATACCAGATCTAAGTAACAGCTGCTTGGACGTGCTGGCATGGGGTGGTTATTCTTCTAATTAGGACTATCCAGTCATACTGCCATTGACAGTTTCGCTGGGTTTTGCTGAGAGGTCTTAGCAGTCAATGGTTCTGTGCGGAGCTACTGCTTTTGCCTAAACTTTGGTCATGGCTAGACTAACCCATTTGCTCGGCTATATCAACTTACAATAAGCCTAGTTTTTTTCTATGGTTGTACGGATTGTGGAATCGAGCGGAATTAGAGCTGACTTCAGCTTGAGTCTTCTGATGTTGCTGTTCTATTATAGTCATACTTCGTCCACACGTTGGTTTGAGTCCGGTCCCCTACCGTTGTTACCTGGGAATAGCTTGCTAGGCTCGAAGAACTTTTTATATGCAGTCTCTTCTCCGTTACCGAAGTTGCTCTCTCCCGAAACTGGCTGTGCGGGATTTCTATATTTACCGCTCCCACTATTTCCACTTTGCTTATATTGATTAATTCAAGATAGCCTTTGCTGGCAAGCGGGGGGGGGGGGGGAGGGCATGAGACAGACTCCATCAAGTCCCTACACCTATTCTTCGAGCTGATGATTTCATACCTAGTCTATACAAACTTGATTCCTTACTCTTCTACGAAAACTCTAGTCTGAGCTTGAGCTGACATTGGATGTTTTATTTCGTTTGTTGTACCTTCCGTTGATTACGTGTTAAAGGCAGCGGCTCGGCAGAATTTCGTTTTCCAGTTCTTCACCTTCTCGGAGCCTTCTCGCCATGAGGAACCCATATCTGGGCTTTTCAGTGAATGAAAATGGCATACATGCGCTTTTTCCAAAGCTTTCCAGGTCAGCCTTTAGTGCAGAAGTGGGCGAGCCCCGTAACGAAAAAGGCGGGACGCAGCTTTTTCCGGCGTATCTTCACTGAATGCGGACCTAAAAAGCTTCGGAAAAAGTCCATTTTTGCCATTTATGCGCTGAAAAGCCCAGATATGGATTCCTCATGGCGAGAAGGCTCCGAAAAGGTGAAGAACTGGAGAACGAAATTCTGCCGGCCCGCTGCCTTTAAGTACAGTCGGTTTCATCCCGGATTAGGCGAGACATTCTACGTCGAGCAGCGCATGCGCATCGCTGGAGGCTTCACGAGCGCATAGCGCTGGCATTTTGCCAAGCAAAGACTAAGGAGATTGAAGAGACGCAGACATGGGTTCTCAGCACGATAGGATATACTGTAGCTGCGAAACGGCGCGAGCTGTTGCGAGGCGGACTCCCGCCAATCCAATTTCCGCCTAAAGCGGGCCGAAACTTACTGTACTTACTTCGCCTTGTGCGTAATGAATACATAAATAAATAAACAGCTGATAGTTTGCAAACCTTGTCGAGCTGATTCCGATAAAAATAGAATCGAGCAGCTAGAATCAAAGCATTCAACTTTTTGTCACCATTTTCTTCCATAGCCTTATCGGCCACTCTATCGTAGTCCTTATCGCGGACCAATTGAAGTGCCACTTCATAGGGACTATAAAGATTTGTTACGAAGAATGGAAAATGTTAATGAAAGGCTTTTTGAAAGCTGTATAATCTGTGGGTTTCACTACAGAAGCAGGCATATTGAGCATTAGTAAACGAAACCTGGTGGCAAACAAGGTTCCTTTCATGAAGGATAACGACTGATGATCACAAAGGGTGATTTAGAAACATGACTCACGTATTTCCAGAAACCTCGCTTGACAGTACGTCGGTGCGCATGCAGTCGAATGATACAGTCTTATGTAACCAAGAATAAACCTTGAAGAAATTAGAAGCTTCATTCCGGGAACATGCAATCCACTCACTTTCTCATGTCGTACATGCCTCGTTTGATCTCGTGTAGCATTACCTTCAAGCCATTTACTATAAGCGTTCTTCTCAAGGTGCTCCAGTATAACAGTCAAAATATTTGCCGATTGAGCGTCAAGCGATGGATCAATTTGGGTAGCACAGAACACAGCTGAAAATGATTAGAATATCTAATCGTTAGGAGAAAACCATTCTGCTCACAAATCAACGATCCTTCATGATCTTCTTTCTTTTCCAACAACCGTGCTTTTCTAAAGTAGGCTTTCGCGTATTTTGGATTACATTTGATCGCTTGCTCGCAGTCACTGACCATATCATCTATGCTGAAACCACCGTGATGCTGAAATGAAAAGCTATGGTCATAATTTGACAAAAAAATCTAAATAGCTGCAGCCATTTTAACGCTTAATTGCTGTCTTCACAAGCATACCCTATTTTCAGGTGTATACCTCACCCTTTTTACTCTAAACGCGAGCAGACCCCGTTGCACATGTGTCTCGCAAAGCGGTTGATTTCTCGCATATTGCTCTCACTTGACACGCCCCATAGTGACAGCCAGTCTTTTGGCATGTTCGTTTTAGAGCAAATAGAGTGCCGCGTATACACCCGAAAATAGGGTAATTTATTGCGCGCAGATGCGAAAGGCGACACTACAGCTATCAAAACTACCTAGGCTGTAGCCTCTACTGTACTCTGGAACAAAATCTTCATACACCACAATCGTAACAAACATTATTGGTGCGATTGATGACCACTTCCGGCAGGATTAACACCACGCATACTACGCTCATAATTTCTTCAGAAAAAGACGCGACAGTTACCTGTATCAGGTGGAATTAGTAGCGTGGCCATATCTCGTTCAGAAGTGGACGAGATCTGAATCCAATGTCAACAGACTCAGCTTGATAATGTGCATCTTCTGATGTGTAGAGGCACCTGTTTGGATACGGTATTTGCACGGTAGACATCCGGATTTCACACGGATGGATAAAATTTTCGCTTACAGTGGATTAGTCAGTGCGCAATAATTGAGTACCCTGTGTAAACTATCAAAAAAATCCGAAAGATCTGCGAAATCTGACTGCTTACCGTGCGCCTACCATGTCCAAACATGCACCTCTCTATATATTAGAAAAGGGCCTTGTCGAGCTTAATCGAAGAGTGTCATTAGATTCAGATTTCGTCCACTCTTAGGCGAGATATGACCATACTGGATGTCAACTGACTCAGGTGAGTAGCGTCCTTCTTTGAAGAAGTTATGAGTAGGGCCCGGCACGAGGTGGGCAAATGACAATCTGGAAATCGTTTCTGGTGGAAAAAGCAAGGGGGAAATCGTCTTTGCGGGGTCCGGGGCGGAGCCCCAGAAGAACTCACCTTTACATCTAATTCATTGGGAAGTAGTTTTCATAGGCCTCAACGCACAGCAGAGCTCGCGCGCACTACGCCGCGCCGCCGCTAATTGCCGCGTGCGCGACGACGCGTAAGCGATGCCGTTGAACAGCATGATTACGTGATCAGTTCTGAATGCAGGCATAACGATATAGCACCAAATTACGCAAGCGAACGAGAGGCTAATAGAAACAAAGTATGAAATATTATGAAAAACTTGTGTGAATGGGAGGTGTAATAAGCATTTTTTCCAAAAATTTTGCAAAACTGGTAAATGAAGTCACATGGCTCGTTTGCAGCGCGCAGATGACCATACGGTATGAAAATTGGTAGGTACATGAACACGGGCATGCAGGGCTTAACTTAAAAGTTTCATTGAAAACTTATGTGATTGAAGGTTGTGGCAAGCTTTTTTCTGAAAATTTCCCACTATCAAGAAAATGGAAAAATGGCTCGTTTGCAGCGCAGAGAAAACGAAATTGCGCAAGGCTTGGTGTGTATACGCGCAGTAGGACTAAGGAACAATGTGTGAAAAACTATTCACAACTTATGTGAATGAAGAGCGTGCCCAACTATTTCCCAATTAGGTGGGCAATTGCCCACCTAATGCCCACCTGAGGTAGGCAAAGCTCATTTCACATAAGTTTTCCAAAATTTTTACATAAATCTGCTCTACACCTAAAGCCTAGTATACAGTAACATTTTGGTTTCAAAACTCCTCCTCTTGTCTTTGTTAGAGCCCAAAATCGCATCAGCAGCCCAGCTTCCCAAGGAGAAAGCGCGCTCCAGTCAGTCGATACGCGGGAACGGCATCTCTCAGTAATATAACTGCGTTACTTTGATATTTCTTCATTCCTTCATCATTTTTCTTGCTTATTCTTCCTGTTTTCTATCTTGATACAGGTAAGGGGAGTAATTAGAGGAATTTGAGCATTTTGGGCGCTTTTGAGCGCTTTTAGGCGAAGTGTGACTGGTGCTCTCGTTGCACAAGCAGAGAGCATCGTTTTTAAGCTCAAGGGGGTATTTGTAAAAAATTTTGGGACCAAAGGGGAATTGTTTTGGAAAACCCCATTTGCCCACCTCGTGCCGGGCCCTGGTTATGAGCGGTATTGTATACGACACTAACCTCCTTCGCTGCAGCCCTATTCTGAAAGCACATAGCTCTGAGAAGTGGGTTTTCTTGGGAATCCCAACATGTGATTGCTTCTGAGAACACCTTCAAATGACAAACACGTTGACCACAAGAAAACAATTTGAGGAAACGCGTACCCGAATAGATTCGTCGTACTTCTTCGCGGCAAAGAGCTTGTTTCCAAGATCTTTTAGCTTTTTTGCATTACGATCTGCATCATTCTAAAACAGAGATACAATAAACTAGTAATAAAATTGTAATGATAACACTTCTAAACTGCAACCATAGCTAAAATTGAAGATATTTGGGATATTTTGCAGAACAATAAGCAACTTAACTCCGTTCCGTTCCTTCCCTTAGACGGAGTTTAAATGAGTTCTGGGTCTTCCCCGGAACTCCTCAGTAAGGAAGGAAGACCCAGAATCATGTATTATTATACTTATTTGTTATTGTTGTAAATTTATAAAGTTTGTTTGATTACCTTATTGAGCTTATCTTGTATATAAAGCTGAATGTCTGTTTGTATGTATGTCTGTATGTATGTCTGTATGTATGTACCAGTGGCGTACCCAGGATTTCGGCTCGGGGGGGGCGCGACAAAAAAAATTTTCTAATGAAGGTGCGTGGCGTTAGCCACGCACTCCGAAAAAATTTTTGGGGTGTTTCTAAAAAATTTTGGGAGTCCCCGACCCCTAGAATCTGGAAAAAGGGGGCGTGGCGTCAGCCACGCCCCCGAAAAAATTTTTTTATAAGGCTAAAATGAATTTTTAAAAATTTTTAAAAATTATTTTAATTATTTACAAGTGCAAACAAGTCATTTGCACATTTTTATAACCCATGTAGGTAACTTTCAAAAATTTCGCGACCCGTTCTCGGGGGGGGGGGGGCGCGCGTCCCCTCCGCCCCCCCCCTCGGTACGCCACTGGTATGTACGTATGTTCCGAATAGAAAATTTCATTTTTGAACCGATCCGGACCAAACTTGGCACACATACACTTCGGGCCCCGGCGGGTGTCATAGGCTACTTTTCGTCATCGATCGATATCGATTTTATCCCGGATCGGTTAAGAAATGGAATTTTCTATTCGGAACATACGGCGGAGCCGGGTAAGCCCGCTAGTTATCAATATTTCAAGTATTTAGATGAATTGTACTTACCTGCGATTTTCTTGCAATTTTAGTAGTGTTCATATTGAATATATTATATAATACAATACAATAATGTTGAATTGACGTCGACTCATAGATATGTGACCGTATGATTATGTATATATGATAAAATGAAGTCGTACTTTGATTCCTTATGTTTATAGTTTATAGTTTATTTCTGGTTCATTTCATTTTCAACAAAGAAATTATTATGTTACTATTTGCTTCATATTAATGTAAATATTATATATATCAGGTATTTTTACGTAATTCTAGAACTAATTCAATTTGTTGTTCTTTTAGTAGATTATGTTTATAGAATATAAATTCGTTCCTTTTTAAGCATTTGAATACCCTAGATACAATTGTAGTAATATCATATCCGATTTTAATGGATGTATATTTGAGTTGTAATATTTGAACTAGAAAGTCTTCAAAGAGGGAACATGAACGTGCTATTCTCAATGTTTCTGTGTATATTATTGCTCTTTTGATATTATTAGATAAGGAAGAAGTAGAATGAATGAATCTTTTGACTGGAAAATTGAAAGCATCAGTTTTGTTGTATAATTTAGTTGTTAATTTATCTTTAGTTGAGATAATGTTAGGTCTGTTTATAATCATAAAATTCCTTAATCCATTTTTGTACTATTTCGTTATCTGCATTGTGTATTACTAACATATCATTCATATATCTATATAGAAATTAAATGTTGTTTACATTTTAGCCTTTGTATTGAATATTTGTATTCATACCATGATAAAGTGAGATCTGCTAAAGTAGGACTAAAGTTACCTCCCTGAATTACTCCAGTTTTTTGTTTAAGTATGCATATACCAAATTTACAAAAGCTATTGTCTATAATGTAGTCGATTAAATAAATTAGGTTAGTTATTGCGTAATATTTTGTATATGGCTTTATCCTATATATAAAGCTGAATGTCTGTATGTCTGTATGTCTGTATGTCTGTATGTCTGTCTGTCTGTATGTGTGTACGTATGTTCCAAATAGAAAATTCCATTTCTGAACCGATCCGGACCAAACTTGGCACACATACACTACGGGCACCGGCGGGTGTCATAGGCTACTTTTCGTCATCGATCCATATCGATTTTATTGATTTTTCAAAAAGTTCGAGTTGCGGGGCTGCGAGTTGCAGGGGGTAAGTGAGCATGCTGATTACGAATATAATAATGACAGGGCCGGGCGGAGCCGGGTAAGTCAACTAGTATTTGATATATCATTTGTGTAATAGATTTTATTTGTTTTATTTATTGTGTAATTCTTATCAGCATTTTTGAAACATAATTTCAGAAGTTTAATTACAGGATTTCAAGTTTGCAGACAGTTGCTGATTAAGCACTCAAACTTTATAGCATAGAGTCTCCAAAAATACCAAGAAATCTGATAATCGGTCTACAAGAGTTATGCGAGCAAGTGACTCGTTTTTCTTGTTGATAAATTAGCTTGTAAAAATTCTTTAATGACATTTATTTGTAGAAAGTTCGGAGGTGTAACATGTAGCCATTTCAAGCTCAGCTCTAAAAAAAGTTGAAAAGCTAGAGCACATTTTTCATGACATGTTTGTGCAAAAACCTGATAATTTTGAAGAAGTCCCACAAGGTGATCTCAAGAGGAAAAACAGTAAGTTTGCCATGTAAGAAAGTCTTCTTCCTGCCAGGTCTTTTTTTTTAATTCTGAGCAAGAAGCATATTACGCATCCGTGAAGCCGCCTAGGGTGCGTTCTAGGTGTTCACTCTTTCCCACTTCTTTTTCTTTGATTTCATAAAATATCACGACTTGGCCGATCGAGGCTCTGAATATGTGAATATTTCAATCTTGTGATGTTGCGGGATGCGGGAGAACAATGGACAGATAAAAAAAACACTCGTTTGGTATAGAAAAGTGGTCCATCAAAAGCGCGAAGAAGCCAAAAAAGTACAAACTGACGCCAATTTGTCAATTTTTTCTTTGCGATTTGACTGGGCTCAGAAATTTACAACAACGAAGAACTGGACTGGCACAAAGAACCATAAAGCAGATACCGAAGGTGAACTATGGGATGTTGAAACTATTCGTGCTTTTCTTCGATCACCGGTGAAGATTTTGCAAGTTGAATGTGTGGGAGATGGATATGTACTTGTTAGTAGATATGCACTTGTTAGTATGCATTATAGTCGCATCGGTTTGCATCTATATGTGTAAATGTCTACAGTATGCACACTGCACGCCAAATTCTGGGTCGTCGTACTTACCGTTCTGTAGATATTCTAAAACTCCTCTTTGCACCAACTAAAAAGTGAACTGGCAGTGGCGCGAAGTCCGTTACACTTGGCCGTGCGCTCTCACAAACGAACCGCAGTGGATGAGGGGACAATAAATCTAGATGGGCGCGGTGGGACCTTGAATAATTTATTCGAAATAGAGAAGTCGAATATTCAGGAAAGTGCACTTTTTCGATTATTCGAATAGGCAAATAAATGAAAAAACTTTTATTCGAATATTTGTTTATTCGACGAGTCGAATAAACAACTTATTCGAAAATTATTTGAATATTCGTTCGAATAAAACTTCGAATAAATTGTTTATTCGATTTGTCGAATAAACAAATCTTCGAAGAAAAGTGTATTTCATTTATTCGCCTATTTGAATAATCGAATAAGTGCATTTTCTTTCGACTTCCCTAGTTCGGATAAATCATTCAAATACGAATATTTGAAAAATATTCGGTTCTAACTACACCATATAACAGGCATGTCGTATGACTTTTTGGACCAAATTCCACCAATACCTATTATTTCGAACCATAGCTATCTATCAACTGTAACTCCACGAAACGGCATCACAATCGAAAACTACGTAATTCGTGGTCGGCGTGCCGTTAACCCTCACAGACTAAGTCTGAGCGAAATAATTTCGAAATTTTGCGGCCCAAGTACTATCGCGCCCATTTTTGGGGGTTACAGAAAATCTCATTGCAGCATGACGATACTGCATACGTCAATATGTTCAGCCAAAACAGGAAAAAAATTTGAACTTAACTTCACCGCAGGTCTTCTCCGCGATAGAAAGTAATACAAACCGAAAGCCGTCGCCGCTCCAAATGCTACGGTGATTGCAACATTCCTGAGATGAGAACTATTGTTCGTCATGTTCTGTAAATTCAGCCATGATACGAGAAAAGAAAATGCAGAAGCGACTGAAGGGAGGGCTTTCACACCAAAGTATGCCTGCAAGGAGGAAATGAAAGAAAGAGAAGTTTATTTCTCTAGGACAAAGAAAACAGATGAAGCTTTACATCTGATACAACTGCAGGTGTTGGACGATGGATAGCACGGTAGGAAGGCAGTTTTAAATATACAAGTGCATTGGCGCTATTTCGGATTGATAATCAGGAAGGGCATCATGACCTTGGAAACATTATTCCATACCTTGAGTGAGACAGCGTGATTTACATCGCTATCCTGTTATTTATTATTTTGTTCTTAATTATAGGGCACAGTAAGTTTTTATATTCCCAGATCGATCTTCGGTTAACTTTCACGCAAATAAACGTCACAGTGAGCTGCGTTGCGTAAAGAAAAAAATTTGGATTGTCATGGAAGAATGAATCTGAGTGAGAGATAAGTCCCTGGATATTAAGATGCGCAACGAGTCTCTTCAAAGTGTTTAGTAAACATATCTTCCGCTTAGTAGACTCCCTGCGAGAATATAGGTGATCCCGAGCACACTTTTAGGCCCGTATGCACGTACATCCCCGCTGGAGAGGGAAGGGGATCTGACAAGGAATGCATGTTTAGTCGAAGTGGCGTTTTTAGATGGGATGTATAACATATTAATAGGCATAAAATGCTGATTCCAAATCTGCCTTCCTTATCTGCAGAGCGTTTACGGACGAAGAGTATGAGCACTTATCGGAGCAAAAAATCGAATGTGCAAGTAGGAGAAAAATAGCCGTAATACATTTTCTAGCTCTTCAGTGGAGCAGTGATAATCATCAGAGCACTTTATTCAAAAGTACTCTAAACTGAAAAATATATCATACTTGGCTGCATTATTTGAAGGCTACTAGGATTTTAGCAACTCATTTTATCCAAAATGCACATTCGATTTCTGGTTCCAATAAACGCTCATAACTCCTCGTCCATGAATGATCTGCAGATAAGGAAGGAAGATTTGGAATCAGCGTTTTATGCCCTCTAATATGGTATACATCTCATCCAGAAAGGCCACTTTGACTAAACAAGCTTCCCTTGTGAGGGGTGATGAGTCATATCTCGCTACTTTAGGTATCTTTCTTCTTTCTTTTCTATCTCGATTATGAAGGTTCTCATCTTATATACAGGGTGTCCCAAAAAGATGTGCACACTGTTTGATTGTCAATAACTCTCTTGCTTTCATGCCTTTTCCTGAGCTTGAGGTACCATTCTGTAGAGCGAGGTTCAACTTAGATTTGCAGTATCGAACGAATTCTCAATTGCTCTTCATCACTGTAGGATTACGGTAGGAACTTCGAGGAGGATTTTAAGCCATTGCAAGAGGTATTTTGCCTCAAAAACAAAGCCAAACAAGTCAGAAACTTTTGATGTGAGTTAATCGAAGTCGCTGATTCTGAATATGAAGTTTGCACTTTAGTGTAGTGCGCCTTTCTGAAGTTAGTTCAGATTTAGGGTAATAACTGTTTTTCCAATGTTTGTCAGAGATGTGATTACGCCATCAAGAAAGCTCGAAAAACTTGTGGAAAGTTGTGTAGTGAAATCAGCATGCCAGAAAACCTCGCTACACAATTTTTTAGATTTTTTTGAAATTATTTCATCAAAAGGCCTATTCCACGGTGACGCTATATGCTGAAAGTTCATACCGTAATCCTACAGTAATGAAGAGCGCTCGGTGATTCGCTCCATGGCCTAAATCTAAGTTGAACCTCGCTCTACAGATTAGTACTTCGAGCTCTGCAAAAGACGTGAAAGCAAGAGAGTCATTAACGATCAAACAGTGTGCACATCTTTTTGGGACACCCTGTATAAAGCTGAATGTCTG